CAAACCGGTTTTGGCGAATGTGGCCTTCTTGATTCCAGAACTTTCCAAAGCCCCTCTGTATGTCTCAATTTTTCTTTTAAAGCTTTTGGTTAGTGTAATGCCTTCCCTCAACTGGTATCCGTCACCTCAGGCAGCTGCGCAGTTAAATAATTGCCCATAATTATTTTTGACAAATGCTTATGGCTAAAAAGCTTTTCACACTGGTTAAGCTTTGAGTTAGGTCAAATAGAGACAGCCTGCAAGTGAGGATTTTCAGAGAGCCACCAGATAGGTCTTCTAATAATTCTCCGGAAATGAAGCTTTGATGGAGCTCCAGCCCCTCTCTGTTGTTTTTCGTGGCTGCCGGTTGTCACCAGAATGCAGGCTGTTAGTTTTAAAGAATATCCTAAAGCAGCCCGGCCAGCATGGCTCAGTGGTTGATTGTTAACCTATGAACCAGGAGGTCACGTATCGATTTCCGGTCAGGGCACATGCCTGGGTTGTAGGCTCGAACCCCATTGTGCAGGAGGCAGCTGATCAGGGATTCTCTCTCATCACTGATGTTTCTATCAAATATATATATATATATATATATATATATATATATATATATATATATATATATACACACACACACACACACACACACACACACACATATATATCCTTCTCCCCTTCCTCCCTCCTTTCTTCCTTCCCTCACTTTTTATCTTTTTAAATTTATTTTTTTTAATGTATTTCATTGATTTTTTACAGAGAGGAAGAGAGAGGGATAGAGAGTTAGAAAACTATCGGTGAGGGAAGATCATCAATCAGCTGCCTCCTGCATACCCCCCAGTGGGGATGTGCCCACACCCAAGGTACTACATGCCTTTGACCGGAATCGAACCCAGGACCCTTCAGTCTGCAGGCCGACGCTTTACCATTGAGCCAAACTGGTTTCGGCCTTCCCTCACTTTTTAAATAAACACTCCTCGATTGTTGCTAACCTGTGGGTAATTCCCAGGGTTCTGAAAAAGCTGATTCTCATTGTTTTGCCAGTTTCTTGTTGCTTTTGTGGAGGAAAGAATTTTTTGAGGCCCTTACTTTGCTATTTCACTGTCACCTCGATGGGGAGGTAGAATAGGCATACTTTGTGCATCTGGCAACCACTCGGCCCAAGTAGCATGGTGTTCTTTAAAAAAATTAGGTTTATGAAATTTAAGAAGAAGAATTGAGCCCACCTAATAGTTAAACTCCTGTGGAAAATGTACATTGTTCTACCACTTCCTTCTTCCAAAACTTGCTTTAACTCTAGAGCCTATAAAAATGAATGAATGAATGAATGAATGAATGAATTCATGGGCCAATAAATCAACCGCATTTGTGGCTCATTAAAACGTCCAGTACAGGGATTTACACAGAAAGGGCACTCGAGGAATGGTGCTGAATCAAAATAGATTGGCTCAAAGTAGGCAATTTTTTTCTCTTCTCTATTGTATCTTACCTGCTCATAACATTAAATCTCCAGTTTTCTGTTTATTCCCTATAAAATTGTATAATCTTTTATCATGAATATTTCTCACTTAATTTTTATGGGGTATATCTTAGTTTGGCTATCTAGAAAATGAGTCCTGTAATATAGTTTTAACAGTAAATTTTCTCCATACAAGAAGGAAAAAGGAACCAGGAAGGATGAAAGAAAGGAGGAAGGAAAGAAGATATTCTTTCCAGTTGTCAAGGTGGTGGCCACTGACAAAATGCAAAAGTATTTTGACTAATATGCAGCAGAGATATAATTATTTTCCATCAGAAAACTCTTAACTAGCTCAATTGAAGGACAGTAGTTAAAGAAGCCTATTTGGAAATGATCCAAAAAAATTGTTGTGTCTTTCTTAATTTGTTGTAATGAATGAGTCATAATATTTTAAGAGGATTAAAGCTGCTTGTAATGAGAGTGCTACATTTAAAGGACTAAGGAAGCTTTAGGAACAATATAATATGATTGTAATACAATATAATATGATGGGATAAGATAGCGTGATTCTTTCATTTCTTGTTCTTACAAGCAAATTACTAAACAAAATACTAAGTGGCTTTTAATTTTGTTTCATTCTTTGTCAGAAGATGTGAAGATGAAAAAGAACCTGGTTACACACACACACACACACACACACACACTCACACACACATTGAGTTAACTCAATTTTATGCGATAAATTGCTATAATAAATCATTTTATATCCTTACTTCTCTAATGATTCTATTTAATTAATAATGAACATAAAAACAGGACTTCAATTAGTAAGTACTCTAGCAAACATAGCCTACATCTTTTAAAATTGGTTTATCTTCATTAAGTACTTAGCATCATCTCAGAAAAGGCAAATGGCATTTTTCTCAGTTCTTATGACATCATCGTATGACTTTCCAATTCGGGGAAAAAACTCTGAAAAGTAGGAAGGGTCTTCAAGACGTAAGGTCTGGTCTCTTTAGAAAATCTTTGTCACAGAAAAACAAAAATGGGTTATTCCAGATTAAAAGGGTAAAGAAACAAAATCTGAATGTAATAAGTAACCATGAATTAGACACTGATTTTTAAAAGCTTTGAAAGATATTTTGAGAATAATTGTGGAAAGTTGATAGGAGATGGATATCTTTAAGAACATATTTTTCAGCCCTGGCCAGGTGGCTCTGTTGGTTGGACTATCATCCCCTACACTAAAACATTGCTGGCTCGATCCCTGTCAGGGAGCATACAGGAGACAACAGACAACTGATGGATGTTTCTTTCTCTCTAAGAAAAAAAAATGTATTTTTCACCTCTGGCTGGGTAGCTTAGTTAAGAGTCTGATCCATGGTTGCATGTACAAGAAGAAAAACAACGAATGCATAAATAAGTGGAATAAGAAAATTGGTATTTTTCAAACCATTTTAAGTATTTTCTTAGGTGTGTTAATGATATTGTTTTGTAGAACATTCTTTTTTGGGAAGTGTATGCTGAAGTTTTTAGGGCTGAGTCTACAACTTGCTTTCAAAAGATTCAGAAAAAAATATTCATATCATAGTTGCAAAGTTGGGAATGTATAACCTGATTTTTATCATGAAATATAGTGAATAGAAATATAATATATTTCCTCCTTTAAGGAAAAACTATTGCCCTAAGTCCTGGGAAAACACTCAAGAGATAGCCTCCAGCTAGCAGCTCTCATGGGACAGCTGCTATTACATATAGTGCCCCCACCCTTGTCCAAGCTCATGCCCTTCAGTGATTATTGAAATGGAAGTACGAAGGCCTCGCCATTTTGGCCCAATGGGAGACAATTCCGATGGGCCAACTTTAGCTTTAGAATCGGCTATGGCTGTCAGTCCTACCTTGCAGCTCAATTTCTCCCCCCTGCCCAGCTGTCCCCCACCCACCCACCTTCCTTTCACACATAGGTATGGTTCTTAAGGGCACAATCTAATAAATATTTGATCATTAAACTCTGTCCCAGAGTCTTCTAGGATAGCTCAACCTGTAACACGGATGGACACCAAATAACCTTCAAATGAGGAATTTTTTTTTTTTTTTTAAAGTTTTGTTTCCCTAAAAATCGCCAATGTCACAATGAAAGGCTGGGGAAATGTTCCAGATTAAACTAAAGAGACATGACAGCTAGAAGCAACATATGGCGCTGGACTGCATCCTGTACTGAAGACAAATTAAATGCCCAACGAGCATTATTGGATTTGCTGACAAATTGGACTATGGATTGTGGTTTAGATAAACAATATTGAATCAATTCTAAATTTCCCGTAATTGATAAGTGTACATGGCTATGTAAAAGAATGCCCTTGTTTAAAAAAAAAAAATAGACACTGAAATATATAGGGGGAAAAGGCATGATATTTTCAACTTCCTCTGAAATGGTTCTGAAAAACTTCACACAGAGAGAATATAAAAAAGCAAATGGGGCAAAATTTTAACAACTAGAGAGTCTACGTGGAGGGGATATGAGAGAATTCTTTGTATTTTACTTGTAACTTTTCTGTCATCTTGAAATTATTTTCAAATAAGAAATATATATTTATACTTTGCATATAAAGAGTTATATATCAACCAGATAGAGCAAAACGTTAACAACTGATCTAGACGATAGGGACATGGTTGTTCTCTGCACTATTCTTTCAACATCTATGAATGTTTGAATTTGCTCATAAGAAAAGTTGGTGGGGTGGGGGGGAGACAGCAATAGGGCCCAGGATGTTTGTTATGCAAGACTATACCCTCTGGAGCACTATGTCTTTATTTCAAGTTTCTGTCCCATGTTTAATGGTTACTCTATGTGTGATTAACTGAGAGACCACAGATTAGCATATCAATTAGACTCTTCAAGTTTCCCCCTCTAGAAAGTAGCCCTCTTTAAGTCATTAATTATTTACTTCCTCATTATAAGAAACCCAATTAGATGTACAGTGTAAACTCTAAGTGCCAACACTTTCTTTTTAATATTTTCTGCTGCATCCTTCGTTGCTAGAACAATTCCCAGAACATGGAATGTGCTCAATAAATATCTATTAAAACAACAAGCGGAGAAATAAAATAAATAACACGCGGGAAACAGCTAAAATAAATATGATTTGGGTATAAGTTAATAATTTTTTACCTACTCAACATCAACTCCTACCATGATGACCAAAATCAAATTTGACTTTTTGCTTGCTTTCCCTTCCTGACTGCAAGTTGGGAGAATATGAATCCTAGATTATTTTAGCAGTCAAGTTGTTAATTTGGATGGACCCGAGCCAGGAAGTAGCTGGAAATAGCACTGCTGGGCTCCAGGAGGGAGCGGCAGAGAGCTTTGTGAAGGCAAGCCCTTCAGGGCACTTAGGTATAGAGTGACCTTGAGGAGAGAGGAGCTAGGGGCTGGGAGGAGAAGTCTAGCTTGAAACCAGGAGAACCCAGGCTCTCCCACAGTTGAAGAAAAGAGATCATAAGGCTATAGGAAGCCATGTGTCAGAAAGCACCGCTTATTTATTAGCCAAGGGTCAATACTCACTCGAGGGGCCTGCAAATGAGTCCAGCTGCAGGAGACGGTGAGGCAGGAGTCAGAATGCAGAAGGCAGAACTGGAGCAAGAACCGAGAGGAACCTAAATAGATGTGGAAATACGGTGCATTAGTTTCGACCTAATGGGTGTGTGTGTTAACCACAAGCTAGCAGCCTTCCTAGGATCACGACCTCCTGGCAAACACTGGGGGCTTGCCGATGGTGCTGGTGGCTGCTAAGTCTCAGTCCTAATGGCAAGTGTCATCCTAAGACACACTCTGCTGTCATTTCAGGCCATCCTTTGCATTCTACCTTTTCACACTCATTACTTCCACTTCCAGCTCACAATCAGAGAAAGATGAACAAAGCATAACCAAGAGGCCTTCAGATTTTTTTTTTTAGAATATATTTTTTATTGATTTCAGAGGGGAAGGGAAGAGGGAGAGAGATAAAAACATCAATGATGAGAGAGCTGCCTCCTGCACACTTCCGCCCCCACACTGCTCCAGTGGGACCGAGTCTCCAACCTGAGCATGTGCCCTAGACAGGTATCAAACCTGGGATCCTTCAGGCCGATGCTCTATCCACTGAGCCAAACCAGCCAGGACCTGAGGCCTTCAATTTTTCATGTTTATCTCTTGTCTGGCCTTGCCTCATTTTCTTTTTTTAAAATATATTTTTATTGATTTCAGACAGGGAAAGGGAGATAGAAACACCAACGATGAGAGAGAATCATTGATCAGCTGCCTCCTGCATGCCCCACACTGGGGATTGAGCCCGCAACCCAGACATGTGCCCTTGATCGGAATCGAACCTGGGACCCTTCCATCTGCCAGCTGAAGCTCTACCAGACTGAGCCAAACCGGCTAGGGCTCGCCTCATTTTCAAACCTAGAGAGCTGCTTGCTCCCTAAGCAACTTTTATTTAAAATAATTTATTTGGATTTATAATTACTTATTTTGCATGGACTAATAAAAATGTTATCTTTTTAACTAACACACCCAGCAAACATGTGACGTGTTTTTAAGGTGGCATCTTAAACTGCTTACAAAGGACCACACTGCCCAACCTCTTGACACATTTTGGTGAAACATTAGAACTAAAGTCAGTGCCGTGGTCTTGCACTGTAAGACATGATTTATGATATGCAGGTGCTCTGAGAAATATGATTAATGGTTGGGTTTTATTTCAGATATTTTCCCCGTTTATAGTGAGAGTACTATATAATGTTTCTCCATGTTCTTCTTAGAATTATTTCATTAATACTCAGCTGTTGGCCTGTACTGAGGGCTGGCATCTAAGAGAACTTCTCTACAGATGCCACCCATGTGTGCCAATAGCTAAGTTGATGGGTGGGGAGCGGTATTATCCCAAAAGCAGACTGAGATAGTACAGGAAAGCAGAAGCAATGAAACGTTAACTTCCATGGGTTCATCTAAAACTTTTCCATAAGAAATTCTGGAAAGAAGCTACTCTTACTTTCAGTATGAAATTTGTGAGTTTTGGTTTGGTGTTTTTTTTGTGTGTGTGTGTTTTTTTTTGGTTTGTTTTTGTTTTTCTACTGAATTACATATGCAGAGAGATAACTATTTCCCCCTTATTTTTTAGGGTCTGTCAGTCAATGTTGTGAGGCACGTCACAATGTGCAAAAAGACCCCTGGGGGCCCTGGCTGGTGTGTCTTTACAAGCTCTCTCTTCCGGTCATTGTCTCTGAGGCATTTTACAGTTGCATACGTGTTAGACAACGTGTATTTCTGCACATGACCTTTGTCCGCAGAAATACAAATGAATCGTATCTAGTAGAACACAATTCATTATTGCCCTGTGAGTATCGGCCAGTTTTGCAAACTGTTAATAAATTCACTTCCACACCCCCGAGGGCCTGGATACACGTGAGAGACTTTGAATTCTCCTTTTAATCCTTGTAATGTTTCTACTGCTCCTCTCATCTACTAATGAGTTCATTAAAACCTCTGCAACGTATTAATTTTGTATTTGCATGAGTCGTGATTTACCTGTTTAAAATTCTCTTTCGTCAACAGGGGAAAAACTGAGGACCAATAAATAAGCAAGATTAATGCAGTTGTTTTGTACAGTTACAATATTTAACACATTACTCAAATGTATTCAGCTCTCCTTCTCTCTTTCTCTCCAGTTAGATCCAGGCCACTTTAATGCCTGCTGCAGCTTCTCAAACAGAGGAAGGGAGCTAAACCAGTGTTCTAGCCAGCCCCAAACAACAAAATAATTGGTTAGATGTGGTGCTTTGCCCCAGTGCAACTTGAGAACACAGAATGCCTTCCTTGGCCCGAGGAACACTATCTGCCTCAGCACCGTGGGATCAAGAGAATTCCCAGCAGCCCCAAAGTTGCAGTTGTATCTAATCTGTGGCCGTCCTTGCCTCATCTCTCCCGTGGGATATCTAAATATTTCCAGGGTGTTTATGTAGACAGGAGGCTTACTTCGACAGAGCCCTCTGCAGCCCGGCTCCTTTCTCCTCTGCGGCCTGGTGTCTGCAGTTGTTCGGCCTCCCTCTTTCCCAGCAGTCCCTGCTCACCAGAGTGTTTGGATATGAACGATCACAAGCATTTCTGGACAGTATTTTACAGCGGTTAAGGACTAGAGCCCTGGAGTCAGGCAGACCTTGCTTTCTAATTGCAGTGCCATTTCTTTTCACCTGTGTGGCCTCGGGAAATGAGTTAAAAGCTCCAAGCGTCAATTTCTCCATCTGTAAAATAGGGATAATAGTATCTACTTTATTGGGCAGCTGCGACGATGAAATGAGGCAATTAAGTGAAGCTCCAGGCTTGATACAGTCATCGGTTACCACGGCAATTTCCATCTCTGTCTCCTATTTCCTGTTTTGATTCCATTTGTTGTGTTCCTCTCGCTCCCATTTTCTTACTCAGAGGTTCACAGCTTTTCCCCTCCAGCCAACAGAGATACCACCAGGTTTCTGGCGCCCCAAATAAGGCTCCTTTGGCCTGCTTGGTATTTGACATGGAAGGAATCTGAGAAGCAGTTTTGATTTGCCAGAAGCAGGTGATAAAGCCCGCATGGGAGAGATGCCTCTCCCATAGCCAGAGGAAAGGAGTGTCCTCAGCTCAGACGCCAGAGGGGCCAGGAATCTGAGCAAACAGGCCTTGCCACATTTCCCCCGCATGCTACCCTCAGCCCAGACCCTTCTGTCCCACCACATTTTTTTGTGACTCTCCACTTTTCATCAAACACTCACGAAAGCACTCACCTTTAACTGTTTCTTCAGGGCTTATGTATTCCCGAATGTTTGAGCACTTGCACTGGCTACACCCATCCATCAGAATGGCCCCCAACTGCCCTACATGGGGCAGAGGAAGGCAGTTGGGGGCCATGAGAAAGCCCTCTGTGGGAAGGCCCCCAGGTCATTTATCATTAATATTTATAAAGTTTTTAAAAATATATATTTTATTATTATTATTATTTTTATTTATTTATTTTTTTACAGAGAGGAAGAGAGAGGGATAGAGAGTTAGAAACATCAATCAGCTGCCTCCTGCACAGCCCCTATTGAGGATGTGCCTGCAACCAAGGTACATGCCCTTGACTGGAATCGAACCCGGGACCTTTCAGTCCAGGCAGATGCTCTATCCACTGAGCCACACCGGCTTCGGCCATTTACCACTCATATTAATTGTGTGTGCTTTTCTGCTTTTTAAATAAAAATTAATGTAAGCTTTATACATAATTATATTTGTCTTATGTAATTTATACATATTTATTATTTGTAGTTAATATAAATAAATAAAAATTAATTCTGTTAACCTGCCTTTTGCTACACGGTCTCTAGCTAAGAATTTAGGAGAGGAGGAAGAGATTTTCAATAAATCAAAGGCAGTAGTCATATGTACTGCATCATTTATTATTATTATTATTATTATTATTATTATTATTGATTTAGTTTTTTCATCCAGGATCTAGGGAGACAACCCATCAGCAACCATTTACAGTGCCTGGCTCAGGTTAAGGCCTGAAGAAGTGTGAGATGCTGTTGTCTCACTTTATCAGTCTTTTTATTAGGATGGATTATGAAATAATTCACATAACTAACATATGACTGTTGAAAGGTAGCAAATTCTTGGGCTTCTAGCTAATTTAATGACCAATGGCTCTAGGCAGAGAGCTCGTTTGATGATATTATTTGTGATTACTTCAGATAGCATTTTGGATTTATGTTTCATCCTTAGAGAAAAAAACACCGGCTGAAAAGATAACATAGTAAACAGCAAACCAGTGGTTTCCTGCGGTTACGGTAACGCTGCCCTGCGCCCATTGCTTCCTATCCAATCGCAGGACATTCTGATCCTGTGATAATGTTCTACAAAAGGAGTTTATTTGTTTTTGTATCGAATGATTTGTGTCAATGATTTCATTTCTGGTGAGGAAGATCAGTTCAACGTGGCTGGGCTCCTGACTGTTCTCTCCCTGTCAGCTCACCAGCTAGCCAGAGAACACATCAATTGTCTGCCTTAGCAAGAAAAACACCAGCTCTTCCAAATAAAAAATTCCTGATGGGGCAGTCTCTTAAATTTGATAAACAAATTATTTACCGATGGCTTGAGAAAAACATAAAAAGGGGGAAATGGTCATTTATTTAAGAAATCACGGAACAGCAGCCAGGGCTTTCAAGCAGGTTCCATTTGCCATGGCTAGAAAAGAGAGCTGATTTGTTTTAAACCAAGCTTCTGTTTATTTAAGGTTGAGACAAATGACTAATGTTTCTGCAAATATTCCAATGTAAAATTAAGATGAGAAATACTGTCTACAATTGTTTTGCCCCCTCTCTGTATTCTGGGAGATGCAATCCATTTCTGAGAAAATCAGAAAACACCGCTTTCCTAGAGTGGTGCATTATAACCGTTCTACCAGACAAGCAATTTCATGTGTGTGCTGACATCCCCCTTCCCCGTGCAGTCTCTCACAATAAAAGGCAAACAACAGAGAAATGCCATGTTTATACGTGAAATATTGTTCCAGCGCTAGGCATCCCTCCCTGACAAGGCAAGGAAAAGCTTAGCCATTTTACTACATTTCCCCCATCTTCTTGGTCAGAGCATGCAAAGAACG